GCCCATTTTGCCAGGGTTTACTCGGGTATAAATAAGGCCTTTTCCAGGCAGCCTATAGCTTACGGCCACACAGCCTGTGTGCGGCCCATCTGGTCTGGTCTAACAAGCTAGGCAGGGTTTACCCTGGTCAGTGCTTGGATGGGAGACCACCTGGGAATCCCAGGTGCTGTAAGCTTTTGGAGTTTAATTCAACTTTAAGTCCCCCCTTAATTTGCTGTGGATCATAATTTTCTTATTGATAAAAGCAAGTAATGAGCCGTCCAGAGCTTAGGGTCCAGCATTTTACTTTGGAGCCAGCAGCCAAATTTGCCAGGGTTTACTCGGGTATAAATAAGGCCTTTTCCAGTCGGCCTACAGCTTACGGCCACACAGCCTTTGTGCGCCTGTTCTTGTCCGGTCTAATAAGCTAAGCAGGGTTGGCCCTGGTCAGTGCTTGGATGGGAGACCACCTGGGAATGGCTCATGACCCCCCCAAGTACCTACTGCTCAACTTTGGGATCGATCGAAAAAGATCAAAACGGGTGGCTCCATCTGGTGGCCAACGTCTTGAAGTGTTATTTACAGAAATTGTCATGTACAAGGCCTAGTTTATTGAAATCCACAAGTCTGTTGAATGTTTGTTCACTATTTTCACAATTTCAGTTGATGTAGATGATGAGATTCATATAGTGAAGTGTTAAAGTGTGCAATTGTTAATTGTTTGATGTGTTTTTATTTTTTTACACTATTCCACCCCTTCTGAAACCCAAGCACACAGGGACTCCAATACTTTTAGAACTTTTATTATTCATTTAAAAGGCAATGCATGAAAACACAAGTAAACAAGATTTGTTTAGTTTAAAGCTCGCTCACCACGACAAGGTACAGATCTACGAGCGAGAACACGAGACCAGACGAGAGATCAACTTGATGTTGGCGGGGGCTATACCAAGGGCTTGGGCGGATTAAGGGGGCTGCTCCCAGAACTTCTGCCAGCCCTCCAGCACGATGCCACCGGGTTCCGAGGTCTCTCGGAGGGACGAGGGCCTGTCGTCCTTGCACACAGAGCTGATGAGGTCTCCCCAGACGGTCAGCTGCGTGCTGACCGACGCCTCGGACTCGTCCAGGACACTCCCTGAAGAGGATAACACCACAAAAATGTATCAACTGCATTGCTCGACACATTCTGATGAATTTCATGTGGAACAGACAAGTCCTAGCAGCTCCACAGCACACTACAAAGTCATTTCATGTTCATTTCAGCATAATACAGAGCATACTACAAAGTCACTTCATGTTCATTTCAGCATAATGCAGAGCATATTACAAATCCACTTCATGTTCATTTCAGCATAATACAGAGCATACTACAAAGTCATTTCATGTTCATTTCAGCATAATACCGAGCATACTACAAAGTCATTTCATGTTCATTTCAGCATAATACAGAGCATACTACAAAGTCACTTCATGTTCATTTCAGCATAATACAGAGCATACTACAAAGTCAATTCATGTTCATTTCAGCATAATACTACTATACCTGCAGCAGCCAACT